TACTCAAAATAATTAATAGATTGGTAGTAATAGTTGGTGATTAACGTCATTAAACAATTATTCTGAGCAACAGTATAACAATATACTGTTATATATATAGATATATATATAACAATGCCATTAATCTTTACACGTGTATGTATATGTGGATTAAAGTCGTGTGATTTTGAGAGATATTTGTTGTTCCTATTTGTTTTTCGAGTTGCGTCTCACTGTAATGTGCACATCACTGCTGAGCACCTTCTGCACTCTGGAAATGTGCTGCATCATTCACTGCTGCAGACTTTTCCACTGTGTCCTCGGGGCAGAGCCATTTACAGCACCGGGCTGTTGTCTGGCCTGTGGACGCATCGATCCAGCTCATATTTCTGGCTGCTGCCGCTGCAGTGATGATGCCCCGAGGCAAAGGATCAGGAGCTAATGTCTGGGGGTTAACTAGTTGGAGCTGCCCGGCTCATTCGCGGCAGAGATGGCAGAGTGATAGGCAGGATCCAAGACGAGCACACAGTTTGTATTACTCTGTTCACATGAGCTCAGAATATCTGAGTCTGTGCAGCTGAATCAACAAGAAAACACTGAAAACACACACTGCTGCGCTGTCTGCTCACAACGATGACTTGCTTATTTTGTTTGTGTGTGTGTATGTTGGGGGGGGGGGACTCAAGCTACATTCAGGGACACACTTCAGACTAAAGACCAGTTAATTGGGGACAGCAAACGCCGATGTTTGCTTAACAGACAATTTCATTTTTTAAACCTTATTTTTTTCATGGTTTTGTGTCAAAGTGTCTAATGGTGACATGTTTTGAATGTGGTCCAGTGTTGAGTGAGAGCTAGGGGATTACATAAATCCTCAGGGATCTTCTACATAGTGACTTTTGTTTTGGTGTGTTTATGTAGCTGTAGCATAAAGTCAGCATTAGTATTAGAGAGAGTGTTTCCAGCTCAGTGGTAATGGAGGTTCAGGCTTCCAGTTCTGTCCATACCAGTAGGATCATCATCATCATCATTTTGGTTCGGGTTAAGCTGTCCACAATGAATAAAGTGTATTGTGTGTGTGCAGTAGAGGGATTATAATGTGTAAAAGCTGGTAGGTTTATGATAGTATATGGATGTAATAAGTTAAGATAAAGACTGACATGCTGTGTGAACCTCATACATCCGGAACGTCAGCTTTTCAGGAACTGATTAACCTCGACAACTGTGTGTTTATCCACTTTATTTTAATTTCATATGGTATGTCTCCATTATGTTTTCTATGGTAAAGATTTAAAAAAAAAAAATTCTCAACTCTTTGAACATCTTGTGTGTAGCAAACATTTGTTTCTGAAATACAACAGAGGAAGAACAACTAGTGTACCTGCTTACAGGACAAACAACTTGTAGGTAGGGATGGGGATTGATGAGATTTTATTTATACCAATGCCATTATTGATTCTGCTTATCAGTGCGATTCTATAGCATTTCCCTTATTTATTCCTGATCAATTTTCTGATATTTACCCTCGGTAGTGTTACATACATGCAGTTATACTGTATAATGTGTCTAACACACATCACAGTCACATGTACTTCATTCATTCATTCATTCATTCTTCTTATGTTCGCACTGCTGAAACGGAAATCTAGAGCTTCAATTAGGTCATCTCATTAAGTAAATTTATTATTATGGAAATTAAAAGAAGTGTGTTAAAAAGGAAGCTTTCTTTTAGTATTGAAAGCCATAACAAGTTGAGTTTCAGACTAAATACATATATCTGAGGAAAAGATCTGAGTGAGGACAGCATGGATTATTCAGGTGTTTCCATGACTGGAAAACTAGTCTCTAAACTTCCAGGTTTTCCAGGTATTTTTAGGATACGTGACATGGCATTCCTGGCTTTTAAGGCCATAGAATTAATTCTCTACCATGACTCCTTGTTGTTGTTTCCAGCAGCGTAGACACATACCGTACTCTCTGCCTTTCATACACGTGTGTCCGTCTGTGATAAGCTGTGATTACATGCAGGTAATTCAGAGTGTTTAATAGACGTACTGCACTTTGACCTGCTCGTCTCCTGCTGCGTTCTCATTCTGCCGCTCTGCAGCTTGCTCTCTGTTGTTATTTGTCATTTCTATCTGAGCTGAGGATAATTCCCGCTGCCTGGAGTCTGCGGGGGGGGAGGCATTAAAACCCGTGTAAAACAAAGCGTGTCATAATAAAACAAGTAGTAAAAAGGAAGAGCAGTTAGAAGACGGCGTCCTGCTTTGTACAGTCTTCAGTTTGTATCTGAAGGAATGTTTCCCTCCTAATTGAATTACTGGAAAAGCTGAGACAAAAGGGAAAAATGTATCCATTTACCGGCAGTAAATCAGACTCATCAATAACCAGCTGAAAAGAGCATTCTTCAATAAACAAGGCTGATTGATCGGTGCAATAATTACACAGATTGCAGAACTACAAACCTCCTGTTACCAATTAAAGTGAAGTGTTCTCACCTGGATCATATTGATTATAATATAACCTATAAAGGTTACATAAAGCGGAAATGATGAGGGAAAATAGTTTGTATAACCAACGGCAATAAACTGGACATATTAGGAAATAGATCATCTAATGAACTTAGTGGTAGTTCATTGATCTGTGCAGCAACCAGCTGACTAGTAATATCCAATCACATTCATACAAGTTAGCAAGCTTCTCACTGTGACTCTATAACAGCATTTTGACCCAATTAATTCATTATTATTAAGTACTGATTCATAGGGCTGTTGCAGGGAAGGAATTCGACTTTCGCCTTTAAAGTTGTTTTTGCTAATTACTTTGTAAAGGGTACAGCGGGACAATGTTTAATCCTTACCTGTACTAATCACCTGCACTCTCCCTCCTCCTGCCTGCTGGGACAAACCGCTGCTATTCTAACGCTACGACAAAGCTTCGGTCTATGTGGCCGTGGCCGGTACAACAGTACGGACCAATCGGTGTCCTTTGAGGAAGTACTCGCAGCTACGGCATGAGCTACAGGCGTGGTTTAATGCTAGCATTATGTTGGCATAGATGCTGCATTCAGAAAACTGGAGAGTATTTCTTAATTGAAAGAAGAGCAAAGAACGACTTCTCCCAGGCTTCTCCCAACTGGTGTAATATATGCAACTGTATAAACACGGTTAGATGAAAATGTCTTTCAATGTTGTTAATGTTTAAAAGGAATTGAGAAAGCAAACTTTAATTGAAACTTAAATATCCAGAAATAAAACATTTTAAAATTAATTTCCACCTCCACAATTCTACTAACAACCATATTTAGGAATATATATATTTAGGCTGCAGCAATTAGTCCAACCAATCACTACTAATTGTTTTATAACAAAGATGAAAGGATTTGCTGCTTTTCTTTGTCTTATATATAAATATCTTTTGGTTTTGGACTGTTTCTTTGCTTTCAGTGACATTTTACAGAATAAAATGCCAATTGTGAAAATAATCTGCAGAATAATCGATAATAAAAACGTTCATTACACAGTTGCACAACAACATGAGAGGCCTTCAGAGGTGTAAAATGTTGTACCTGCTTTGAACCGGACACGTGGAAACCCTACTGGACCCTGCGAGTTCACTTCATTTTTAAAAAGACGAGAACTGATCCGAAAGAGACCCGAGGACAGTCGGATACGGTTTGGCCCCGAGGATGATTAGACGTACAGCGAGAATATGGTTCACACAAACAGCAACACAGGCAATTAACCAGCAGCAGCAGCAGTTTAAATGAGCAGCAACACAAAGCAGCTTGATGGCAGACTGGTTAAGACACACACACACACACACACACACACACACACACACACACACACACACAAGTATAAACAGCAACCACGACATCCCAGTTCCTGTTATCCTCCTCTCACCTCCATGTATCAGGGAAATGACACTGTTGGGGACGTAAAATAACATTTCATTTTAGATGATGAGGTTTTTCTATTTAACAAAATGCAGGTTGTTAAGATGTTTGTGTGTTTTATGTACTAGTTAAAGTTCCACGGTTGACCTCTTGTCCTTTTTCTGTGTTGTGGCTTCTTATAATTAACTCTGTGAGAGACCCTTTTATATTAACTGACGTTTAATATGTTATTGTAGTGGAGTACACTTAATTTCACCTGATATAAAAATAATATTACTTATAATTAAACACTTTAAATGTCCTTGAATCTTCCATATACAGCTTTATGCTTGACTTTAACTCATCCCGAGTCCCTAAGTGACGTATACAAAACATCCTGGTGTGGTGGTCATATGACAGTCGTGTGACAGGAAGTGTCCTCTCCAAAATGTGGGTGTGACTTGGAAACAGAAATGAAGGAAGTAGCTAAATTCAAAAAGCTTGTTTATATGTTACTACGGTAAGTTTAAACCAATTTAACAAGGGGGTAGTATTTAAAAAAACATCATAAATGTGTTCTATAAGTTCGGTCTGTGGTTTATCCCCAATAATTTTCCTTCAAGGAGAAATGTGTTTTGGTTATATAGGTTAACATGTTAAAGAGTATTTCACTTAATTAAGTTTAACTGTTTAAGATTAGGGATGCACCAATACCGCTTTTCTTTGGACAAAATGTTATGCATATAGCAGTCTTTATACTGTAATATGACCCTTTATAAAGAAAAATTGCAATATATATCGCCTTGCTTGAACTATCGCAATATAATCGCAATATGTCAAATTGTAACCCGTCATATCACCAGATTATTGCCAATACACAGCCCTATTATTTAAGATAGCAGCCCTTTGAGTACCTTTGCAATGTCATATCAATGCGATGGCCAACATAGAAAAGGTCGATTATGATTCCAGTCAGCGTATCGGTAAAAAGAGAATTTTACTCTAAAATCAGTAACAGTATCTCAGAAATCATTCGGGCTCTACTTGGAACCAAGTTGACCTGTGAAAGCATCAAACAGACAAACGACAGCACTGATTCGGTGCACTCGATCAACCAACATTTAGCTGCCGTGAGGCGACTCACCGCGACCGTCGTTCTGAACGTCGGAGAGGATTTGGGAGTAGTTGACTGGCGGCTTGTTCTCTTCGAACACTCTGTCGACGAGGGTGATGTTGATGCTCTTCAGCTCCGTGTACAAACCCTCCACGGCGAAGTAGCACGGCCGATCGTCCACCTTGTTGTCGCTGAACATGAGCATCACGTGCTCCCGCCACCCGAAGTGCTCGCAGATCCGCAGGGCGAACTTCCCGAGCTTCTTGTGGGTGGGCCCCGTGTTGGTGATGGACGGGTAGACTCCGCCGTAAAAAGCCACGGCCGGGGCGCCCGCCGTGACCATGGGAACATCCCAGTGGGTGGTGAAGAGGCCGACGGGGGAGGCGGTGTAGGAGCAGCCGGGCCCGATGAAAGCCCACGGGTCGTAGGCGAGCTTAAGGTCCACGGCCATGAGCGGGGCGACGGACTCGGAGCAGATGCCGTCTTTGTCTTGGCTGTTCTTGAACGCGTAGGTGAGGTGGTGGTCGGGGAGCAGGGTGGGGTTGGCGTTGACGGTTCGGATGGCCCGCTCTAGGGCGGGACCGATGCGAGGCCAAGCCCACGGGTAATACGTGTTGTTCTGTGGTAAAATGACGGCCAGTGTGATGTTCTGGAGCGCCCGGTGTTCATGGTGCCCTCGAGTTTGACGCCTCAAGCTGCGATGTCGAGACGATCGCCCGGAAACCGGCTGGAGGTGGAGCAGAACCAGCAGAACCAGCAGGAGAGTGGTGCCCTCTTTCCAGCGGGCCATCCTCTCTCCCCCAGCAGGTAGTCCACTTCCAACCACAGCTGAATAATTTATCACCGTTAACTGTGGACACACGCAAAGGGAGACATTAAAAAAGCATGCAACATAAATGAAGTCCTGTTATGTGAGCTGGAAGAATGATGCGTACTTCCTCTCTCTAATAACACAGTCGGGGCACTGAGACCTGCTCTGGTCGGTCATGGTCGACTTCACTGTAATCATTTTGTCCGAGTGGCCTTTGTGAGTTTGGGGCCATGCTGAGTCGTGGGAGAAAACCTCCCTGAAGCTGGGAAACGAGAGGACAACTTTCCTGCCAGCCCTGCCCACCTCATACAAAATAATGTATGATACTGAAAGTGATGAGTGTTTTCTCAAGTACAGCCTAACCCTCGTGAATATCTCAGACCAGGGGGGGAAACACATTGTCATCCTGTAATAAAAAATGTCCAACAGTTGATACCCACCTAAGAAAATGACAGATTTAATCCCACTTTCATGACAGATTCAGTTATGTTAACTGATAACGAGGTTTTTTTTGTTTTTTGATTAAAATGACCCAACCAAGAAATAATGAAAGCTGACAAACGTATAACCAACCACCGATGAAGGTTTTCCAATCGTCCATACAAGAGTCAGTGGGAGGGAAACCAAACAGAGCTACCAAGAGATTGTGTTTTTACTGCAGACACTTGAATGTGTCGGCTCTTATTACATTAAAATATAATATACTTGATTGTTGAAGTTGAAGATTGATTGACGGGTGAATGATATTATTGATTGAAATCACTTAGTTCATGCTGACGTAAGCACGCGCCACATTTTGTTTTACAGGAAGACAAAATTATTTGATTTTGATGTAAAAAAAAAAAAAAAAAATTGGGTTTAGCATACATTATTAAAGAGGGGAACAATATAACTGAGGATGTGATCTTAAAAAGGTTAAAATGACATTTTTCTGGACTTTTTATTTTTAATTAATCATTGGTTTTAACCTCAGCTGGCACTAATAACCCTCCATACAATATAGCACCAGACTTCTGTTGCCATCTTTGTAATGGACATGCTGCTTTGCTTAAAAGCATCAATTCCCTCCGGATGGAAACACACAACGGTCAAAACGTCGATTATCCTCTCCAATGTAAATCAATACATCTAAAAAAAAACAACAACCATGATATCACTTCTGAAATTGACTTTCTTGTCTGTACCTCAGCGGGTGTCCGGTTTCCTCTTCATGCTGTTGGTTGTGAGTTTGGTGATTTCGGTGATGGTGAACCTACCAAAAACCATGCCCGCGAAAGCATGCCCGGCGCGTGCCCTCCTCCCTGGCAGCCGGTGGGTGAGCAGCGCGCGACGGCGACTGTTAAATCCCGTTTTAATTTATTAATTAATGTATTAATTTATTATTATTGTTCGTCCGAATTTCACCAGTTTTATGAAGAAAAAAAATATATTTAAAATAAATTCGATGTATAGTTTTATAGTCTTTCAGGAGCTTCAGGAGCGGGAGGTCGTTCAAAGTTTAAAAATGCGTCAAATAGTCCAACCTCACTTAAACGTGTGTTCACCTGTCAACTGTAAGCGCCGGTGTCCTGTCAGACCTTTCACGTGGTGGGAAACAGGTTGAAAAACACACACAAAAACGACGTTGAAACGGCAAATAAATCCACAATTATCCAGAGAGAGATGTTCAAACCGATAAAACAACGCCAAAACTGGTCAGTAATCCCAATTCAGATTGAATGAAAAAGGTTGGAAGCAGGTAAAGTCCGTCAAATGTTAATTAAAAAAAGAGCTTAAAGCTGCTTTGTAATCCAACAGGTGAATAATCGGCTCCATTGCATTCGCGTCTTTAAAGCCCATCCGCAGGTTAATTAAAATGTGTGATTAACTGTGTTCTTCCGCGGCTGTGTTGGACCGAGAGACCGGACTGACTGCCGGAGGTCTGTCTGTCTGACTGGGCGGAGAGAGAGAGAGACGGCGAGGAGGGGAGGAAGGAAGGGAAGGGAGAGGGGAGAGGGGAGGGAGGGAGAGCCAGGAAAAGGTGGAAAGGACAGGAGGGAGGGAGATTTAATAGATTATGAAAGAGAGAAATTAAAAATTGTATTTTAACCCTTTAAGATCATCAGTTATATTTAACAATGTCTGCCACAAAAATTACAATAAACTCAATTTCTTTGTATTTTTATATCAAATTCTAATATTTTTGTCATGAACTAACATGATTTCCATCCAATAATATCCTGACATTCACCCGTCAATCAATTAGTTAACTAGCTTAACTTTATTCCCTGCCTTCAAACTGTCTTCGGGCAGCTTTCAGTCCCCCTGGATGTGCTTGGAGGTTTTCAGGGCATCAAAGTACTCATTTGCAGGCAATTGTTTCACAACTTTTACCCCTCAGAAAAAATACTGAGCTCCATACCTCGTTGACCTCAGAGGTCATGTTCACCAGAGGTTGCAGGACTCAACAACAAGTCCTGATTATCTCTTAAAAGGACCAAACGTCCTGTGAGTTGCATAAAGACTTAAATGTGAAAGACTGTGGAATGCTATTTGCAGCATTAAATGGTAAAACAGACGAGTCTAAAGGAGTTCATTTTGCCACCTCGCTCATTATTTTAATGTGTTTCTTAATAGGTTTTTTTGATGGCAATACGACATGAAACAGAGATATTTCACCTGTTCTCTACACTTTCCCAGGAAATGACAAACGACAGATCGTCAGTATCTGCAGGGGGCAAAATCCTCCTCTGTACTAAACAAATTCAGTCGAGTCATAAATAGACAAAGGGAAAAAAACAACAGGTACGACGAGCATGAAAGAGGGAAGTAAATACCGAAAACAAGAGAAAGAATAAAGAAAAATAAAGTGCTATTTGGACATGTAATAGACAAACTTTACATTCGATCTGAGATTGAGCTGAGCCCTGGATTGCTCTGATAAGGAAGACCCTGCATGACGAGCAGGAAACTGAGGACATCCCAACAGTATCATTTATTTAAACTGAACAGAAAGTGGGCCCAGGACGGAACCCAGTGGAACTCCTGCTTCTGACAAAAAACAGCGATTCCTCACCGTTAATAACAACACAGTTCATGAAGCGGCGAAGAGTTTTATCAGAGAAGTAAAATTTGGATAGTTCGGACAGTATATTACCCTTTGCAGATCTTTGGCTATTATTTTTGTACAGTGCATTATTTTATTGTACATTTCTATTTTAAATGTATGTTTCTTTTCTTTTCTTTTGCTATGTTTATTGTGACCGTTATGCCCCAAGTATCAAGGCGATATGTATTCTTCTGTAATTCTGTAATATCAGTATAAATATCATTATAAAGGCTATATATATTGCTTCAAGTGGACAAATCTGTACCATTATTTACACTATTTACATAAAATAACAGTCCACTAAAGCAACATATATCAGTCTCTACAGTACAGACTATAAATACTGTGTGAGTCTACATATACTGTATTCCTCTCCTGTCTCCTGTGTTTCGGTGTGTGAGTCCTGCTCCGTCCCTTTGCCCCTATTATGTTTTCCTGCCATTACATTTTATTGCTGTGTTATCTTCCATTAGTGCAGGTTGAGGATTATCTCGTTCCCATCTTGGCTGCTTCCTTTTACAAGCATTTCACAGATCAATAAAAACAAATGCCAACACACTATTAAAACAGGAAGGACAACAGGAAGGACAGTGCACTGTTTGTCCACCAGCTTCTCCTGGGTGTAACACTGAGGAGGATCTATTATTATATGGAATATAATATTCCTAGGTTTATAATCACCTGAACATTAGAATTATTGTGTTTTTGTTACCTCAGAATGAGATGTTTTTATCTACAGTGAGAGTTGGTCCTCTATGGTAGTCCAGACTGGACAAACACCGGCTCTGGATGAGGCCTCCGTAACTACTACTACTTACTACTCTCAGGGCAACTGTCTTCATTACATTATGTTCTGAATTGGACTAATGATAATGATAATTTACTTTCCTCTTTAAAAAACAAATTGTTCAGAAAACTCATTAAAGGGAAAAACTATTCAATAATGTCACAGCCCACTGTGAACTATGCTTAAAAAATGAGCCTCAGTGGCCACTAGAATATCTCAAAGGACCCTAAAACCCAACATGAAGCGTCACAATTCAGAGATATTCAGAGAAAGCTGCTGAATTACTGTGGAACAATGAGTGGCAGCAGGTCCTCTGGAACAGGAACAGCAGAGACGGGCAGGAATAGCTGAAACACACTGACTACCTGAGGCATAATGAGGGAATGAGGGACAGGTGAGCAGTGAAGAGAGGAAGCTGGAAATAGGGCAGAAAACTCTGAGGGCATCTGGTGGACAAGTTGGGAACTACGGGGTCTGAGGAGTTCCCCAGAGCATAAGTCTGGAGATATTCTATATTTTTATTATTGACCACAAATTTCATGTGCAGATGCAAAACCACTACATTACTACAAATACTTGCCCAAGAAACAGCAACAGATGATCATTTGTAGCTGAATCTTGTAACGATCCCCAAAATGTAAAGGTAAAATAAAAGAAAAGGATTAAAACTATCAAAAAATATAAATTAATACAAATAAAATAAAATGAATAAATATGCTATTAAATGCACTAAAAATATTATTAAAAATAAAAATGCATTCATTATTTATAAATGTGACATAAATTAATTTAAATCTTTTAATTAAATTAAATTAAATTTAATACAATGCGTGATTTGTTATTGTGTATCTTTATACATATATGTAACACATATATTGTGTACATACATATACACAATATACAGTAATATATATACTGTACATTTTATATTTAATTATTTAGTGTGGTTTTTTTATTACGTGTCTTTGAGTACCATGAACAGCACTCTATGAATACGATGTATAATTATTATTATAAATTTGCTTTTATATTTAATTACCTTCCCTATTTATTTACTTTCCCATTTCCTATTCCATTTAAAATAAAAAATATGATTTATTTATTTTTGATTTTGGCAGTTTCTGTCCTCCGTACACTTTGTGACTAACAACTATAAAAGTATGTAAAGTAATACTGGCGCTGTAGCCTCATATTCTGACCGATTTTAAAACAGTCAGCTACCACTTTAAGTGCTGTGAATTATAAATCTCTATGTGGACATTAAGGGGTTAAAGGTTTTCGGTCAGCTATAGCACAGAGTAATAAGATATATTGAGCTTTGATATGCAGACGTGTTAGCAGATACATTCAGTGATGATACACATGAGATTTAATAACAAGAAAAATCTAGAATATCAGCAGATATACACTTTAATAAATGCAGGGGCTGCAGAGGGAGATATATTTCTGAGATTGAAGTTTCTTAAATTAAGAAAACCTTTTGGTGACACATACAGAAACATTCCTGAGTTAAGTGCCAGCTTTGTCTAACTGTTTCAACTGTGACTGAAAAGGTTTTGATGAGATTTAATCTGAATTGAGAGACATTGTGGATTAAACAGCGTCAGCAGCCCTGCCGCAGCACTCTACATTTGCCTTTTGCCTCTCCTCTCTACTCCACAGCCTGCATTTAGCCCACAGCGACACTCAGGAGAAGGGATCCGGTGGGAAAGCCATTAGCTTAACACGGAGTGGGAGTCAGCGTCTCCTATACATCCACCATATAAACCCTCCACTGCCACTTGTGCAGTTACCCATCAGCACTGATTTCTGCTCTTCTCTGAAGTGCCCTCCATGACAACCCAACGTCCTCCCACCCATTGGATCAGACATGTTTGTTGGTTTGTTTGGTGGCTGTAAAAAAAAACATTTATGTTGATCCATTTGGACGGTACAAAGACTGTGGGGTCAACGTTTTAGTTGTCAGGGATGTAATGCATATAAAACTGTTGCAGTTGCTCCATTTCCTGTCCTACTGACAGTCCTCAGAGAGGGAACACAAATCTCTGGATAGGATTCAATCTCAAATTTGGGTATTTCAAAACTCAACAATTCCCAGAATCCATATCAAATGTAGTTTTTCAGTATTTCCAAACTCCATGGTGGACATTAGGATAGTTTTGATGCTTAAAAATCAGGATGCTGATCCCAGTGGAGGGGCGGATCCAGCGTGGATTCAGCTTATTACAGTGCACTAAAACTAAAGTAAAAACTAAAACTAGATGTTAAAAATCATCTTAATTAACTGGAATCAAAATAATAACTAGACTTTTAAAAAAATGTCCATAATACAGCGGGAAAAAAAAGGTTCTGTAAGTCATTACAATGAGAAACTTTCTCAAAATAACAACTTTGTGTCTGAAAGTCTTTATTAAACAGGCTGTCTCACTTTTTAGAGATACGTGGTTCTCACAGGACAAACATATGATGATCTTACGATGCAATGCAATTACTTTTAATGCAGGGAGGTCAGAGGTCAGGAGTTGAAGTGTTGTTGAAGAGCACTTTGGGAGGTTGAACGCTTCCAACACAGGAGGTATGGAGAGATTCTGATCAATGCGTTCATGAGACGATTAGTCAATTGATTTAAGTTAGTTGTTTATGACATTTCTCAGTTAAAAATAATAACAAAAACCAAATTGTTTGTTTCAAGTTTGACAATTTTCTTTTTTTTAATTCAAAATAAACAGAAACATTTCTTGTTTTCTCTCCAATTAAATCAAATTCAAACATTAAAGGTTTTCTTTGTGGTTTTGGAGGTAATTTGATCAAATCTACGTCTCTAAAGATGATTTTAAGTTCTCTAGAATGGAAGGTTATCATCGAAGGTTACTTCCATAGTCTGTATGATTACAAATACAGCACGCAGGTTTCTGAAGACCAGAGTGTGGTCGCCTCTGCTGTCGCCATCTTGCCAGTCCTGACTCCGTCGGTATAATCCAAAAATGGACAAAAAGGTGGATCATGGGTGGAGCTGAGGCATGGAAACATCCGCCTGCGACTGCACCCACCTGTCAC